AAGCCTCTTGCAAAAAGATATTGTGCAGCTCAAAGTAAAGGAATTGTGCTTGCTAATACATTCGTGCCTCCGGTATATTCAGTATGTCAAAAATGGCCCCTTCGCGAATTCTTAAAGGCAAAGGTCGGGCTTAGTTGACCTAACCAACCCTTTCGGTCATTCCTGTACTTGGTTACGCACCCGTAGAGATGTTCCCATGCTCAAAATCTCAAACGGACGCGGTAATAAGGCCCAGGGCACGTACTATGCGCTATCGCCGCCTAGCCCCGCTACGACCGCCCACCTCGGGATGTGGCATAACGTGTGAAATCAGCTAGGTTGATTAGCCGTATCAACCGATAGAACGACTGATATCTTCAGAAAACTTGTTTGTACGTGCCTCTTCCCCAAGCCAGCCTCCTTCACTGCTAGTGGGAAAGAGGGTTTTGTTAACGGCCTTGTCGACGGTTTTTCTCAGTTTTTTCTCCACTGTCGTTCCACTTCGCATCTCTATACTCAGTTTCAATCGCCATAATACCCCCTTATTGAGCCCGACTTTTGCCTTTAAATAAGGAGTTCTTTATGCTAATATTCCATGGGTTCTCCACTTTCGCTAGAGCCTGCCGTGTGATAGCGGGCGAAGCAAAGCTGGTATTCTATAAACGCCTTGTTCCATTGAATGGTCAGTTGTGCTTCGGCCTAGCATAGGTTTTCCGAACCTTATGTCTATTTGTAGTGGTACGTGCACATTGTATCATTGTATGACCAGCTTACTTAATAGCAGTCGATTGCATAAACTCAATCAAGTCTTCAGCAAATGATAACTTTCATTTCTATCAAGAAAGCCCAAACTCATTAAACCGCTAATCCTTTCGGGGTTCTAAATAATGGTGAATGTAAATAAATGATAAGCCTTAGCTCCTCACTTATGTAAATAGGCATATTTCATTTTCATTTTGAGACTGACAGCAATCCTATTCACCGCTAAATTATCTGAATTCAAGAAGAATGCTGGATGTTTACAGTTGTGAGATAAATATGCCAGTTCAGCTCCAGACGTTATCACGCGTATTCTCGATGGACTTCAGCGAAACTGGGAAAGGTCTAACACATTCAATAGTGAGGTGGTTAATGGAGTACCTCATGCTGATATTCCATGGGTCCTCCAGTTTCGCTAAAGCCTGCCGTGTGATGCGCGCGATAGCGGGCGGAGCAAAACTGGTTGAATCATAATTGAAGAAGAAACAACTACAAATCAACTCTTTTTTAAGAATAACGGTTACAATAATCAGTCTCAAAAAATAGATCCTCTAATTCTGAGTATCATGTTAGATACTCGTCGGTTGAATTGAATAAAATTGAATTAAATAAAGTGAAATTTGGCCAGGTCACCAAATAATCTGACTAGGGAAAGTTAACAGGCCAGTCCGGCCATTCGCAATGAGGTGTGGATCACTTTATTCGTCTCGAGACGGTAACCTCAATCAGCCTCCCATATTCGCTATATGACGCTTTTAACGGAGTTACGAAGGCTCTTCCCCGCACTGTTTTGCTTGGGGTGGCGGCAAGAGGAATATAACTGTATACGGTAAGCCAATTAAGGGGTTACTGTAATGTGCCTCGCCCTCCTCAGACCTGCCTGTGGGGTGACCTCATTTAATTGCTTGCGCTGACCGCTGACCTCTCCTCACTTTTGTCAAACAGTACATTGATTATCGAACGAAATCTATCAATACGTACTAAAAGAGGAAACACAAAAAATAGTTTAGATCCCGAAAACCAATAACATTTTACTGGTATGAATTTTAAAATTTTCTGCAGTACCCTTGCTATGCCTCATGGGGTTCTGTATTGTAGAGTACTCTCAAATCAGTATTCTCAAGTCATCTGCACCCACAGCATCGTGGTATTCTAGTGTTCCGAACAAACGTCATTCCTACTCTGCCCGAATTCTCTCAAGCTGCGTTCTAGAGGAAATGTTGTAAGGGCCGTAATAATGTCTTAAAAATGGTTCATGTCCCGGGAGCTAATATGGTTTCATTGTCACGTACATTCCTCGTACTTTAAGATCTCCTTACACACTGTTCCACTTGTTCGTGGGAGGGGATGGTGAGCGGGAGGTGTTAGTATTGTGTATATGAGCAGCAAGTGCTCTAATTTTATCTATTTCACGCCTCTTTACAAATTCTCCATGACCTCCTTATCTTCTCTACCTCTTCAAACAAGACATTCAACATTATGTCGATCCCAAATAAACAGACACAACCCGCTTCAAGCACAGATACGATCCTGCCTGGTTTGGCCAGACGCGCGATTGACTGTTTCTCCATTCACTACCGGATCGATGAGTAGTTATGTTGCAATGGCAACATTTACTGATTGAAGCTTTTGTTTGTCATGAATAAATCATGGGAATAACCGGAAGGCTAAAGCCTCTTGGACATTCTGATATTTTGTGCTGCCGCGGGGCTTAAAGCAGTAATTACTTCGTGAACTCATTGAATGGAAGAGCGGAGAAATCAAGCTCACTTCAATGAGGAATTTAAAATATAGGCGACTTTGCTTTTTCAGACTCCAATTCCAGGAAAATACTTCCAACGTGTTGATTCAAACGCAAATTATCAAGCATACATGATGATGATCATCGTGTTGATAACCAATACTGTTTGACGAAAATCAAGAAAGTCACGGTCAGCGTGAGCGTAATTGAGCTCCCCCACGGCCAGTCTGAGAGCGAGCACATTACAGAACCCAAATTTAATTGCTTACCATATACAGGGGGGGCCAAAAAAAAGAGTCACTTTGCCTATGGCGCACATCATCAAATTTTTCTTCGCACAGAATGCCGCAGCTAATGAATGTTTTACGGCAGAATATTCCTTAGGTGTCCCCCATAAGCAGAAGCAGCCCTCCTTCACTGCCCTCACGTCTTCAGAATATGACGTCATCTGCCGTCACCGTCGAGCTCAACGAGGCTTACCGTAATCGCTCCGGCCTGAAGCTGCTACATAATTTCTTCAATCGATTAACTGGTGAATAGCTTCCCAGAGACACTAGCTGTGACTGTGCAAGACCGCTTTTGACCAGCGTTTCAGGGACGTCGTAATGGTCTATGGTACCTCGACGACCTCGTTGAGCTCGTACCGTGAACCATGTTTCCGTGGGAAAATCTTCTGATGTCGTCGGTGTAGAAGGCTGTCATGTAATTTTTGATAGATTAGAATGTGCTCTTTAATATGCAATTGGGCTCATTTGATTTGGTTTCGCAGTTCGTAGATTAATTGCGTTTTGAATGTGGAGAGAAGTGACTCTTTTTTTTGCCCCCCCCTGTACAGTTATATTCTTCACACACTCTTTTGCTTGCTATCTTTATCGAAAGCGCCCTCATGCGCTCCCAAACTCTTCAAACAGGTAACTATAGGCGAGCATTACTGCAGTAATTGTTGTCAAAAGTTTCGCAAGAGTAAAAGTTTCGCAAGAGCAAACTTGAGTGGGATTCAGTCTCACGACCTCCGTTCAGTCAGCCAAGACTACCACAACTGTTCAAATTCGCTTTACAACTCCGTTCAAAAAATCGTTTCAGCGGATTTGGAAAACAGTCCCAGCTCAGCGTCTCTGAATGAATGCAACTATTTACAAACTCTGCAGATGGTCGGACAGAACTGTTGACCTATCTTTTTCAGTCTTTCGTGGTATCGCGTCGGCGAGCTACCCAAGTCAAACGGTAATTTCTTTGAGACTCACCCAATAACGAACGTTGGTGAATATATCAGCACACAGCTTAGTATGACAGTGCGCTTCTTTGGTGGTTCATGTTCTATTATGTAATAACGATAACAGAAAGAGTACAAAAGGCAAAAAAATCCATTAGAGAAGCAATGCAGAAAGAAACCGAACCTGAAGCAAAGTTGAAAATTGGCACGTTAGAAAACTCAACCAGCCCTATCTATAATCCCTTATGAGAGTAAATCACTCACCCAACAAAACAGGCCATCGGTCCAAAGAGTGAACAACACGGCCCATCAGAAATGTAGAAAATACCAACGCCAGCAGCCAAGATTCTGAATGCTTTAAAGTATTTTAAGGTTTGATCTGTGAAATAGGCAAAAAATTACACATCGACCAATGCCTTTTTAGGGGTTCGTCTAAAGGAAGTACAATGCTAGTAGCTCAATTGTGGAGTTCTTCATATTGCGAAGCTTGGTTCCCACATTCAAACATGTTCTGTTGCAACTCTGCTATAGATTTTTTTCCTTTTCCACGAGATTCAAATTCTTCAAATGTTCATGGTTGAACAGACTTAGAGCTTCATGTGAAAAAACAACGGCCCACTAGTTAAAGGTTTGTTACTATATGCGGGGGGGGGCAATAAAAAAAGACATTCTGTCTCCACATTCAGATGGATTTATTATCAAGTCTGCTAAATTGAAGCCAAATGGCCTCAATCTGGTATTGAAGAGCAAACTTTATTTTATAAGAAGATCTTCATTGGCGACCTAGGTGGACGGCATTAGAAATATTTGCCCCGGAAACGTGCACTG